AAATATATTATATAGAATACATAATACCATGCTTACCGAAATTTTCTGGTTGAGTATCCCACATTTCAAGATCCGTAGGTGTTAAAAGGAAGTAATGCGTGACAAGCCTGGAGCAAATCTCCGTTAATATTTCCGGTGTGAAAAATTCTTGTTTCAACTGGCACGCCCTCAAAACCAATGGATCTGTCGTCTCTGTTTTAATAAAGAAAGAATAATTGTTAATATGTAATACAAAACGTAGACAAGTAAGAATGATGCAGCTTCTATACCTTCAATAATCTTAGCTGGTCTGTAATATGTCGATAATAAAATGATCTTTAATAAATTTAGACACTGAATAATAAATTTTTCAAATGCTAACGCTTGGCCAGCTTCTGTAAAGCAGTAAAAAACGGAGAATTCTAGAGAAGTTGGTATAAGTTCCACATAACAAAATGGATGTATGTCTAAGACTCCTATTAAAACTTTGGTCAAATGTATTATAAACTTTTCGCACACATCCACTTGCATTCCTCTAGAAGCTAAAGTTTTTCCTAAAAAAAAAAAATAAATAAATAAAACATATACACTTTTACAATACCACATCAAACTCAATTTAAATATTCGAAAAATCCTAAATAGTTGGTTTTTAAAACAAAAAAAAATACTAACGGCACTCAAGGCAAGTCCTTGCACGCTCGAAAACAACTTTCAGAAATAACATGGCATCTTGAGATTCGGATGGTTTGGAAAAACCATTTACGATCAGTTGCCTAAGTATTCTTAATAATAAAAGTGCTTTTTCTAAGGTTTCTTGTGTCTGATTGACATCAGCTCCATTAGATGCCATAATCAGGAAGGATTCAGTATAAGTATTCCATAGGTTTAGAATAAAATTAAACATAGTCGCAGTCAATTCTCGGAAGAGCCTCTGTCCGTCAGCCAAGCGTCGAGACGCCAAAGCCTTAACAACATGATGCAGTGTTAATACTGCCTGACGTTGCGCTAAAGAATTTTCTTGCCTTATAACTTCCAATAATGTTGGTACCAATGTACCCCATTCTCTAGGACAATCATACCTATAAAATCAAATATAGAATAAAAAATTAAGTATTTTAATTTATTACATATATTATGTATAATAATTAAGTATATTACACTATAACTTATTATGTTATTATATATATTACATATATTATATTCATTACCTTGCTATTTTGGCAATAAGGACTGCTAATTGTATAGCTAATGGACTCATAGGTTCGTCAAAATTTCTGAGGAGATGTTGTCGCAAAAATTCCTTCTCATTGTCTTCAATTGCGCTAAAATAAAGGCGTGCATTATTAAATATATACTGCCATCACAGTACAATAATGTCTGATTTGTGCATAACACAATGCACCCTGTTCTATGAAAAAGTTTCTTACTTTGGTGCATTTTTCCTCCAGTATTTCTCAACTCCGATCTTCAAATATACTACAGCCATCCATCTAACTTCAATAGCCAAGGAATGATTTGAAAGAACATTCTAAAAATAATTTTTCCGTGATCAGTCATGATTTTTAAATCACAAAATATGTAACCATACTTCATTCTTTGTAGCTAAACCAGTATACACCGATTGTATTTAAAATAAAATATAAATACATTGTTCACTTGCTACAACTCAGAAATTAACATTTTTCAAACTAGTTTATTATAAATATTTTAAATCATTAAAATTTTGAAATCTTAATTTTGAAACACAATTTTATTATAGTAATAACTGATTGTAGAGAAACAAAAATATATTCTTTCTTTTTTATATTTACATTCTTTTGTATAAGCAAAAATATGTAATAATACAATATACATAAGTAATATAAATATAATAATTTTTACTTGTATATATGTACTATTGTAGCGAATGAGCAAATATATTATTTGATAAATTGAAAGAAAATTTTAGTGCAGTTCAAAGAAGAGACCCAATCATAAGGCAATCTTATACATAGGTATATTTATCTGTTAAGTGCTTTCCATTTACATCAAAATTCAAATAATTCTCATTTATTACATCATAGCTTAATTAAATACATATTGCTTTTTATTCTAACAAGTGAAATTCAACTAAATTTTTACCTGCAATCTGTACAAAAAAAAAAACTTGAGATCATTTTATTGAATCTTCAGGTTTTAAAACCTGTATCGTTGAGTGATAACTTTGTCATCAAAGTAAGCAAGTAATGATATCATTATCTGAGTATAAATAAACTCATATCACTTTAGGCTCAGTATTATTTATATAAAAATAGAAAGCAACCTGTTCCATGTAACGTTCCATAAATCCAGTACGTACATGGAAAATAGAAAAAATACTTATAGACTTATAAGTTCACAAAAAAAACTTTCTTCTGTCCAACACAGGACACTTACATATAAAGCTATATAAAATCCTTGCTGAGTCTCCCATTGCTTAAGCGTTTCCTCTGCAGACTTTAAAACATTGGGGTCTTGACTGACCGCCTGTCGTAGGACTTCTATCACCGCGGCTTCCATGTCTTCTTACTGTATACAATATCAGCGGATATTATAAGCACCCCGGCACGATCCTCGCATTAACAATATTTCCGTCCCGTGCGATATTATCTAACGTCGCGCAATTGCATCATGCGTCGTTTCGCCTCGAGAAAAATAGAGAAGACAGTTTATCCAATGCAGGTCGCCGAAAAGCACTTGGAGAATAAACGAGCATGTGGTCGCAGGGCAACCGATGCTGCATGAACGAACCGAATGCGTCGTGCGAAATAATATCGCGATCACGCGAGTCTCATTACATCATTTCACGTATCGCTCGCAAACTGCCGTCGTCGTCACGGTCGTTCCGGTGAACGAAATGCCCTCTAACCTATACAGAACCGCAATGACGGAACAGGTCGAACGAAAGTACAAGACGGGAGAAACGCGGTGTGCCGCGAGCCGCAAGCGGTGGAAACGGAACGTTCATTACCTGTCTCGCAACCGGTGTCGTAGGCGTTCATTCCGCGTGCTCCATTTGCCGCTGCGTTTTGCGCGCGAGGTAGAGTATTTATGTAGTAAATCGATACATAACGAAAATCCTCCGGCAATCCCTCGCACACACGTTCCGCGTACGTGTCGATGACGGCACCTTCTCGAAGCCACTCGAAGCTCAACGTTTCCCTTTCCTTTTCCTTTTCCCTCCACTTCCCGGCCGACAAGCCGACAGTCGCCGCGCCGCTTCTTCGTCTTGCGCGAGACTCGCTCTTCTCGTTTTACTCCTCTTTTTTTTTTTTCTTTCCCACTCTCCTCTCACGCAATAATGACAGTTGTCGCGCGCGTGCGTACGTCCTCTTGTATCATGCGGAAAAATAAAAAGACGATCAAACTTTAGTTAGCTTTAATCGACAATTAATTATTAACTCGGCGGCCGATACTCGCGATAGCTTGTCAATATCTCTAGAGCTCTACGATATTCATGGTTCGTTCTTACTTTATTCATCTCAATTAACATCTTGATATATGTCTTACATATACTTATATATGTACATATATAAAGATATAATTTAAATATTATTATTAAGTATACAGTTATAAATAGATAGATACTTAAATATACTCGACTATTATAAATACTAGCCTAGAATCGATCGATTCGTTTGATGTGAGTAATTGAGGAAAATAAATCATGTTAAAAACAATTTCAAATCAATCATGTCAATGATGATTACTTAATCGATGATAATTTAGTTGTAGGTATTTCGTCGAAACCACAATGGGAAGCGCCAACCGTTTTATTTAATAATTCCTCCCTTATAGAAATTTAACACTGGGCGGAGTAATAATTAATAATTATTATATACTTACTCTGATATTAAAAGTACTGTTGTTCAAATATAATAGGTATAATAAAATTATAATTTCCTGGATTAAATTATTAGATTTCTGTAAGAACTAATAATTTTCTCTTGTATTATATATTTTACATAATAGGTATGTTTTTATACTGCATTAAACTGCACTGGAACTTTCCTTGTTACTTTTGCCAAATATCAAACATATATATATCTACTTTACTTTAAGTGTGTAGTGTATACTAAATTTAACTATAAAAACAGACTGGTTATTATTGTAACCACCGACGAGATACTATTATAAAGACCGACGTTCTTACAGGATTACTTACACTTGCGGTTGACTTCTACGACCTTGTTACGTTACTTTCTTGTCTTATTGTATTAATTAAAGAAATCTATAATTTATGGGTTTAATTAATTATTATTCTTACGGGAGTTCACGTTCCTGTTAATATTTAAGTGATTAAAGAAACTGATAATATAGTAATAATGTCAGCGTTTTCCGATTATCTCCTCCTGAGGTCCTTTTTCTTATGGACGAAAATTAACCCAAGATTAACGGTCTTTTATAATAGTACCTCGTCGATATACTTTTATAATTATTGTTCGATGTATGTTCGAATCTACTGAATATTATCAAGCAACAGTCACTATAGATAGCAATAATCAGAACTATATATTAATATAATATATGAAATTAAGAAGTAGATAAGATTAGACAACACACAACACAAAATGAACTCGCATGTTTCTCATTGCGAGAAACCAAGAAAAACTGAGAGAAACCTCATGTGCATTTCCGGATTTTGCATCCGTTTTCGAGACTTTCCCGAACCCACCAGAGCCGCTTCGCGCTCACACGCTCATGGCTTTGTTTAATATTCGACAAACAAGGACAAAATGATGGACGAGTTTTTCAATTCATCGATTGATCAATCGCATTATGTGCAAATGCAGCTTTTACGGAACAAAATTGTGTCTGCGTACAATGCGATTGATCAATCGATGAATTAAAAGACTCGCCCGATTTTCAAGCGTTGCGAGCATGAATCGGACCATGGCCCAGTTCGAATCCTTGTCCCGCCCCACTGGAGCGGATATCCGGTGCACAACAAGCGCGTCACACTTTGCGCAGCGCAAGTAACACGTGTCCGCCTGTGGCAGCACCATCGTCAACACGTTTGGAGTTCGTCCTTTCTTGTCCATGGCTTGTGGCAGCGTTTATATCGTGTTACAATGAAGGTAAGAATCCATGAATATCTCAGAAATCACTCGTCTCACGTGTGAAATACAGATCTTTCTTGATGCGCCAAAATACTGATGTCGCGACCATATTTGCATTTTCGTTGAGGCTGTGTTTATCTGCATGTACCATCGGCCGTAAATAAGTGTCGGCGTCTGGTGTTTCAGGTGAAGCATGCTGATATTACGCCGGATTAATTGCTACATCACGCGATTAAGAAGTGTCTTTTGTTGTTTCAATTTGTAACTTGCGCAACTGACATTGTATAAAGAAATTGTTCTCTTTTTTTCACTTAATTTGTTGTTGTAGTCTGTAGAAGGAAAACCCTAACCTTTAATTTAACCTTAATTTAGAAGTTTGAGGCTCAGTTTTATCAATTTATACCAATTATCCAGAGTACCCTTTCAGTTCCAATTTTTATTATTCTCTCTCAATCCAAATCAGGCTGCGTTCTGTTGCATGCATAATGCAGGGTGTATCGTTTTATCCTTCTTTACAGAGTGTTAAACAAGAATAAAATGGTATAGCATACTCATTATGCGTGCAATGGAATACAGCCTTACATTTCATCTTTTCCTAATTCTTAAAACTAGAAAAATATGAATAAGTAGGACCAAGATTAAAATGAATCCACTGGTGGAAATGGATATTAGATATATTGTATACAACTCTTCTAATTTTGTATTTGCTTATTGCAGTTGAACGTGTCATATCCTGCAACAGGATGTCAGAAGCTGTTCGAAATTTCGGATGAGCACAAGCTCAGAATCTTCTATGAGAAGCGTATGGGTGCTGAGGTTGAGGCTGATGCACTAGGAGATGAATGGAAAGGCTATGTTGTTCGTATCTCTGGTGGTAATGACAAGCAAGGTTTCCCTATGAAACAGGGTGTCCTGACAAATGGTGAGTTCATGAGACATTTTTACATGATAAAATTAATTAATATGTATAAAAAGGATTGTTTGCTAAACTTTATTTATATTCAATCTATTATTATTTTACTATTTTGTCGAATCTATAAAAAAACATTTAAGAACACTTTTGGAATTTTTTGTCTACATTTTCGAATTTAATTTTGTATCACACAATTTGAAAATTACATAATTAAGCGAATTTATAAGAGTACTTCTAGCAAGAGACAAATAATTCAGTCTAACACAATGAATAATTATATTCTAATTTTTTGCCAACAAAGATGAAACAGGAATGACCTGTATTATATTGTGAACATTTTCTATCAAGGACTTGGGATTTTCTTAATACTGTAAACCTTTACTGACCAATAATAAGAGAGAATGTTACAAATTGACCAATTTAACAATGTTTCAAAATCTTTGCAACATGTGAATCATACTTACTGTATGATGCAGTTCATTCCCTGTTTAATGTTAACAAGTAACAATGATATAATTTACTGTGTTACATTGTATCCTTGCTGGAAAATATTCTGTTTCTCGCTGGAAAGCACCATAGGTGTTGACGCATGCAATTACAAATATTTGAAATTTACTCATTTGTGTAATTTTTAATCAAAGTCCTGACTAAGTACCAAGAAATTTCTTATAATATATTATTTGCACAGGACGTGTACGTTTATTGCTTTCCAAAGGACATTCTTGCTATAGACCACGACGAGATGGTGAGCGCAAGCGCAAATCCGTTCGTGGTTGCATTGTAGATTCCAATTTGTCTGTATTGGCACTTGTCATCATCAGGAAAGGCAAACAAGTAAATGATTATATTTTTTTCAGATACCAAAAACCCATGCTGTTCAGGGTATATTTGAAATATTCAATTTTCTTGAGATACAATCATACGCATGGGAGATAAAATTCGTTTTTTGATTTGAGGAACTGCTACATCATTTGTACTTTTTCTCAGTGTACGAACGAAACATGTTTTTAGTTATTTATTTTTTCTAAATTTTTACAAAAATATTTTATTATATAGTTCTTTGCGCTCGGTGCAATTGACTCGCAACTTGTAGATCTTGATTTAATCCCACCAAAAATTTGTCATACGACAGATGTAATCTTGGCCTTAAACTGTAGGTCTCATATTTCTATGAATATACGTATGAATCCAGACTTGGACATTAGGTTAACGACCTAATTAGTCAACTTAATAGATGACAGATTTCTTATAATAATATGAATTACAGGAAATCCCGGGTTTAACTGATATGAATGTACCGCGTCGTTTGGGGCCGAAAAGAGCGAGCAAAATTCGCAAACTGTTCAATCTATCGAAGAAGGATGATGTTCGGCAGTTTGTAGTAAAACGACCGATCCAAAAAGAAGGGAAAAAGGAACGATTTAAGGCACCGAAGATTCAACGTTTAATCACTCCTATTGTCCTTCAAGTATGTAATTACAGAAGAATGTGCATAGAGATATTGAGAGATATATTTTAATATTATATTGAAATTAAGTTAGATTATTTGCCTCTAAGTTACATCAATACGTTCAAATTTAGATTTTTTTTTTTTATATTCTAATATATTCTAAAACATACTCTAAAACACTCTAATATATTCAAAACTTAAAAAATGTTTACAGAGAAAAAGACACAGATTGGCGTTGAAGAAGAAGCGCTGTTTGGCTCGCAAGGAGCAAGCGGCCGAGTACGCGAAGTTGCTAGCGCAACGGCAGAAAGAAGCGAAGAACAGACGCCAAGAAGAATTAAAACGAAGGCGTAGCGCTTCTTTACGCGAATCCAAATCGTCGACGCAAACGGCACCAGCCGCGCAACAGTAAATTGATTGAATCCTGAAATGTATTTGCACATCAATAAAAAAAAAATTTCGACTACCTATGGTCTTCTCTTTTATTTCAATTACTGTCTGTACACAATTACGTTTTCAATACATAATTCTATTCTCCGAAATACATTTTTACGGACGTTTTTGATACTTTTTTAAATTTATCAATTAAAACTATTTACAACGAATATTTGTGGCGAATATTATTTAAAGTCGATTTTTTCGAAAAAAAAAAGCTATTATGAAAAAATGTTATTCTACGTTTTTGAGTTATTTTTTCATAAATTAGAAATTAGAATTACCATCTTATCACAATCAGTGGTATCATCGAGGTTTACGAATAGCCTTTATAATAATATAGCTTTTTATAGTAAAAGTAGAAAAACGATAATTTTTTTCCATTTCTAATAAAGTATTTTTTTAATGCAAAATATTTTTATCCTATATTTATTTTGCTCTCTGCCAATTGGTCGATCGATAAAGGACGATACGTATTCAGCGTATCGCGTATCGTGTGACTCCCACGAAGCTTAACGATTAACGTAATAAACAAACGACAGTCTGCCTTCGGCTGTTTAAAACTAGACGTTTCTGAATCCGTTTATTGTCAAATTACGGGATTACAGTGCATAATGTAATCATGAGTTAGCTTTTGTCATTTCCAGAGCAGATTTATACGTTTTTCTCGTATGTCTTCTCAGGATATAGCAAATCCTTCCATAAGTATCAAGGTACGATCGTGAATCCTTCTGTTTCAGGATCAAAACCTATATATTATAACCAGTGAACTTATAGAAACGTACGTATACTCCTTGTTTTCTCCTCTTTTGTCCACTTATTTCCTTTTCAAATTCCTAATCTGTTTATCGGTATCCTTAATCCTTCGATAGAATCTATTTTTTTTAAGAACAATTTAGAAAATTGTATCTTCAGTGTTAATACATAACATTATTTTTAATATGTATAGTATCTATAAAAACTTCATTTCAATAAAATTAATATAGAATGTGATAATATTAATAAAATAAATATTAAATAAGTAAATCATATATGCATATAATTGTTAATTTAACTGTCCATTAGAAATGTTTAAGAATACAGTCGATTTTTTATTGTGAATTCTAATAGATACTTAAATGGAAATCTTAAAAAATAAGTAAAATACAATCCGACTTCTGTGATAGTAAAAACTCTCATTGTCGAAGCTTTCACAAGTATGTTAGAATTTTTGCAGATTTTTCTATAATTGGAACAATAAAAAGGTTTACACTGAAGTTTAAAAATCTAGGTTATGAGCGTTGAAAATACCCACATAACGTTTTGGTATTCTCATTTAATAAAATAAATAAATATTTAATAAACAGAGTTAAAATCAAGTTATAGTGATATAGGACGTTATAATGTTATTTGTCTTATAAATGTATTTATAAGTAACAAATAAGGTCAGATGATGTTCTTATAATATTATAACTTCTGTGTTCTATTTATAAAAATTATGAGCTGTATATAATTGCATCTAATTATCATTATAGTTCTCATAAATATTTTTCAATAATTTAAGATAAATATTACTAATTCATAACCTGACAATTAAGTTGTACTATTTTTTTTACACTTACAAAATATATATAAAATCAGTATACATTCTTAGAAAAAGAATAAAACAAAAACTCTTGTCAAAACTGAAGCAATAACATTTAACAGTGCATTTTAATATAAATATATATACAGAAAAATAAAAGAGTGTGATTTAAAAAAATCTAATGTTATAACAATCTTTGTTCTACAGTTCTTTTTTCAGATAAAAAAATGCCGAAATCCAAGATAACCATGAGCAAAACGCATACTCTGCCGCATTTTGCTAACCACACGCAATCCTCCTTGATGAAGACACGGACGCCGCTGAAATTGAAGTTGTCATCGGTAAAGAATATAAATGAATCAAAGAAGTCACAAAGAACCGTCATTCCTAAATTGAACGGAATCTGCAAAAAACGAAGCAATATCACAAAGCAGAGCAGAAGTATGCAGATGCTAATAATGATCCTCAAGCAACAGGTGGACCGTCGTGCATCCATTTTTCTCCCTGCTGACAAGTTAACAGGGACAACCTGTCAGTTGGAGAATTCGTTAATTTCATTTCAAGGCGATATGATCAAAGATGTATCCCACAATCTAAAAAATTGCGTTGCTAGTCCAGTTAAATTAGCGACTCTTCGTGGCAAACAGACAAAAATCATCAATGAGTTGGAATCTTGCATTAAAAATTTCAATTTGCATGATTCTTCTCAGGATGGAACGAATTGTGCAGGAAGAGATAATTCAAATGACACCCAGGACGCTTTTGAAGCTCATGCAATCACAGACGTTGCACATAAGTTTCAGTTGCATTTGAGTGACAAAGAGAAGCCAGCGGACTCGCGTTGTAAGGTCGAAGATCTTCATTGCAAATCCGAATCTGAAGAAAAATCTGACGACTTTTCGAACAAAGATTGCACAGGAATGCAAATCATTAATGAGTTGGAATCTTGCATCAAAAATTTGCATGATTCTTCTCAGGATGGAACGAATTGTGTAGGAAGAGATAATTTGAATGACACCCAGGTCGCTTCTGAAACTCATGCAATCACAGACGTTGCACATAAGTTTCAGTTGCATTTGAGTGACAAAGAGAAGCCAGCAGACTCGCATTGTAAGGTCAAAGATCTTCATTGCAAATCCGAATCTGAAGAAAAACCTGACGACTTTTCGAACAAAGATTGCACAGAAATGCAAGTACAGTCACAAAGTGTAAATGTCACGACGAATCGCAAACGCACGCGAAAAACTTGGATGTTTAGAAAAGCCGGAACTCAAAACAAGCACGTTAATGTTGACCGCACATGTCATACTGATTTACAAAAGTCCGAAGCCACACAACATGTTGGTACAGTTGTGAATAGCGATGCGATTATCCGGAAAAGGGGTATTCTTCAAAAGAATCCTATTTTTAATCAGCGAGTTTGGAGATCACCAAAAAATTTTACGAAAAGCACATCGTCTTTGCAACCAATGTCGCAAAAATCATCTCAATCAGCCGAAAAATCCATTGTCTCAACAAAGAGCAAACATTTGTCAACTGAATGCATCAAGTATGTCTCTTTTAGTATCTTCTATTTACATATAGAATTGCTTTTTAAAATAAAATAGTACATTTTCGAACATAAAACAGTTCTGAACGAAATAAGATTTGAATTTAATTTTTAAAATTCAAATTTGATTTTTTCCTATTGACCTTTAGTGTCCTCCACATAATGAGAGAGTTATTAAAATTAAACATCGAAAATTGTATTTAAATTATTAATTTTGTTCAAAATTGTACTATATTCAAAATTTTACCACTTATATTAATAAAATTTATCATACTGCATACATATATTCACTTTTGAAGCTAACAAACTTTCCTAAGGATACTTTTTTTGTAGTTATATAGATACATTTAAAAAACATCTTATAATAATAATAACTACACAAATGGAAAGAGTAAAAATATAAAAACTTAAGAATAAAATTAAAGTATCGTTATCATTAAAAAGAAGTTATCTTAAATACTTTTGTATTTGTTTATAAATTTTTGTGATTTTAGTATTTCCGTTTTTTTTCCGTAATATTATTTTTTATTTTTTATGTAATATTATTATTGGACATTTTTAAAATGTCGGATTTGATATAAAATAATTGTAATATGTTAAGAAATTTATAAATATGTACAAAAGTAAATAGGGATCAAATGTAATAATACTTTAAACAATTTTGTATTCTATACAAACTCAGAGAGAAATAGATACTAGGAGTCAAGCGCAGATAACTTCGCGCGCGCACACACACACACACACACACA